CGACATGGCGGCAAAGCTGGCGCGCTTCCTGGAGGGGCCGGAGGAGGAGGTGCGGGGCACTGGAGGTTGGGGGGTACTACCCTGGGTATGCCCAGTACTATGTAGTACTGGCTGCTCTGAGGGACCTGTACTGGACATGCAGCGCTCACGCACTCCATCCGTCACAAACTGGCTGCCAGGGGGTGACAGATGTCGGCGCCTGTGCAAGCACTGGAAAGGATGAGCATCTGGCTGTGGCACCCTCATGTCACCACTCTCGACACCGCTCAATGCGTCACTCGCACGCGCACCGAGCCGTCGCGCACCTCCCCACCCCACCCTGCAGGGTGTACTGCAGATCCCGGTGACGGTATCTGTCCCAGGGCAGCCCCTGCCCGTGGCCGTCACCCTGCGTGCCCAGGTCACCACCAGCGACTTGACCATCACACCCCAGACCCTGGACCTCGGCCGCGTGCCGCTGGGCGAGCGCGCTGGCGCGGCGCTGTTCGTGACTAACCCGGGGAAGCTGCCGCAGTCCTTCTCGTTTGGCTGCGGCGGCAAGGGCGCACCGCGCGGCGTGGAGGTGTCACCCGGTCACGGCTACGGCACCGTGCTGCCTGGTGAAACCGTTCGGCTTCTGGTCAGCTTCCGCCCATCCATCCCCGGCCCCCAGTCCTTCGCGCTGCGCTGCTCCACGCTGGCGGGGCGGGTGTTCCCGGTGCAGGGGCGCTGCCACGGCGTCGAGCCGCCCTTGGCGCTGTCGCACAATGTCGTACGGGTGAGGACGTGCTGTGCTTACTGCAAACTGCCAAGTTCAAAATCACCGAGGGACGGGCTGACTTCTGCAGCGGTTCTTTTGGCGTTGCTCGATGCACGCCGCAGCGCACGCCGACATTACTGGCGATGCGCCGGCGGCCGTCAGTGTTGGAGCAGCCGCTTGTCACTGACAGGCGCAACTCACCAACCGCCGCCTCGTCCTCTCGTATGTGCACGCCCCCAACAGTTCCCTGCCACCGCTGTGGACGACACCAGCTGCGTGTCACTGGTTCTTTCCAGCCGCAGCTCCGACGTCGTCCATGCCTTTGAGTTTGGCGTCCCAGTGGACAGCTGGCTGCAGGTGACGCCGCGTGTTGGATCCCTCGCGCCGGGCCAGAGCGTCCGGTTGCAGCTAGAGTACAGCCCACCGGCGGCACTGCTGGCCCAGCAGCAGCAGCAGCAGCAGCAGCAGGCGTTGCAGGGGCAGGCGGGGTCTGCCGCGCCCGTCTTGGCGGCTGCCGCTGCCTGCCTTCTCGAGGAGCGCTCAGCAGGGGACACCGCCTTGTCGGGCGCTCAGGACCAGCAGCGGCCCAGGGACGGCGACGGGCGGTGGCGCCAGTCGCGGGAGTGGGTGGTGCCCTGCTTCGTGCGGCCCCTGAGAAGCGGGGGCTCAGACCCGCCATTGGACGCAACTATCCACGCGACCGGCAGCAGCAGCAGCGGTAGCGCGGTGCACAGCAGCGGCGGCGGCGGCGGCGGCGAGGGGTTGGGGGACGGCTCCAGCGTGCTGCACCTGGGCGTGTCTGTGTGCGCGGTGGCCCCAGAGCTGCTGCTAGACCAACCCCCACTGCCGCGGCCAGACGGCAAGAACTATTACACACTCGACTTTGGCCAGCTGGCGGTGGGTGAGAGGACGGTGCGTGCAGTCACTTTGCGCAACAC